CTCTCTTATCTCCCACGAGGGACATAAAGCGAGAATTAGACTCTCAGACCACCTTTCTGTATAACAAAGGATGATGAGGCAGACAGAAGAGATGCTAGGATTGCTCTGCTATTTTGGACATAACAAAACAAAATATAAAAACCATAGCATAGCATCTTCAGTGATGTCTTTCGTATATTCTAAAATGCTGACACATGAAATGTATAAATCAAGATTTGGGTTAAAGTGGGGGAGCATATTAGGCCCTCAAGGAAAAGGAGATAGTCGGCAGCTCCATTCAGGTGATGTGCTGAAAATGTATTTGATTTGAACCTCAACGATCTAGCCTCTGCTGTTCTACAATCTAGGACATGAATGCATTAGCACTTGGACTTGGGCTTGAATTGCAAATTTGATTTTTGTTGTTCATATTAAAAAAGCTACACCAGATGCTTGGAAAACATTAGGGTTTTGCTGGCTAGGAAACAGAAATATTATCATTCTACCTATTTGTATTTTGAAGATCCAGGAAGCATTCTATCTCAGTTGCAGTTGTAACTATTGGTATCACTGAATTTTAAAAATAGTTAAGCTAAGGCTTTGTGGATGCTTACTGGGTGCCAGGTGTGAAGCTAAGTGCTTTCTACATTATTTCATTTAAACTCATCTTCACCGTAACTCCATGAGCTAGGTATTATTAACTCACTTTGCAGATAAGGAAACCAAGGCTTAGGAGAGGTTAAATAAGTTTTCCAGGGTTCATTCATTCAACAGATATTTATTGTGTGTCTACTCTGAGCTCCTAGAAACCAAGTAGTAAACAAAATGGAAAAATCCCTGCTTCCATTACATTCTAACAGAGGGTATCACCGCCAACCTTCCTTAAGTTCCAGATAACACTGATATGGATCAGCTCTTAGGTAGAGGACCCTCGATTTGACCAGGCATTCTGACTCCAGAGCAAGTGTTCCTGTCTCTCTAATTCTGCACTACATTGCCTCACCCAGAAGGGCTCACTCAGGGGGGAAGAGGTGAAACTTGGGGTTCCCAGCTGGACCTGGCCAGTTGCATGGTCTCAGCCACCACCATTTCACAGAGGAACATGTGGAGCATCTTCCTTCATTTCTGTATCCTGCCTCACCCATTACATGACCTAGAGCATAATCATGGATTTGTACTTTCTAAAACAAAGTCAGGTTCATTTTTAAGACAAGTGCTTATTTCTCGAAGGTTAACATGGCTGCAGGAGGTGTCAAGGGCCCCAGGCCTCATTTCCTTCAGGGCCTGAAGCTGGGATACTTGCCCTTGCCACTCTGTTTGCAGCTATGTTCAAGTATCTGCCATACCTGAGATCAGAACCATGGTGTCCGGTTTGTCCAATAAATAACATCATTTTCTAGCTATTTCTACCTAATATGATGGACTGAACCATTATTTTTTTTTAAAGTCAAATTCCAGTGTGTCCCAGTTAGGGCCTTGTCGTCAACAGTTCAGGAGCCTCTACCAAGTAACTGCAGACAGAGTTTGATGGTGTTATTGAAAATATATAAGATTTAGTTCACCATTGTTTTTTATGGCTGAGTAGAACTCCATGGCATACATATACCACATTTTATTAATCCACTCATGGAATGATGGGCACTTGGATTGTTTCCACGTCTTTACAATTGTGAATTATGCTACTATAAACATTCGAGTGTAGATGTCTTTTTTATAGAATGTCTTTTTTTCCTTTGGGTAAATACCTAGTAGTGGGATTGCTGGTTCAAATGGTAGTTCTACTTTTAGTTGTTTGAGGTATCTCCATACCACTTTCTATAAAGGTTGTACTAATTTGCAGTCCCACCAGCAGTGTATGAGTGTTCCTATCTCTCCCTATCCACGCCAACATTTGTTGTTGTGGAACTTTTTGATAATATCTCTTGTATTAACCTGGATGGAACTGGAGACCATTCTTCTAAGTGAAGTATCACAAGAATGGAAAACATAACACCACATGTACTTGCCATTAAATTGGAACCAATTGATCATCACTTATGTGCACATACGGAAATAACATTCATCGGAAATCAAGCAGGTGGGAGTGGGGAGGAAGGGATGGGTAAATTCACACCTAGCGGGTACAGTGCACACTATCTGGGGAATGGGCATACTTATAATTTTGACTCATTGGGTACAAAAGCAATTTATGTAACCAAAATGTTTATACCCCTGTAATATTCTGCAATTTTTTAAAAAATGAGTAAATGTAAACAAAAAAGTGAATGGAACATCTTCAAATATTCCTTTTTACATGGTTTGGGATTTTGAATCATATTACTATTTTATGTATTTGAAAAAGTTAACATCAACAATAAAGACGAAAATAAAATAGAAAGAAAAAGAATATATAAGATTTAGAAACGAGGGTTAGAGTAGATTTTTACTCAGGGACCCTTTGGACTCTGTTTATTTTTCAAATGGAATTCTCTACTAAAGAGAAAACCTAGCAAGAAAACGATGCTTCTTGAAATTCACCACATCATCTCCTGATTGGTTTTACTGTACACTGGGCTCCTGTAGTGCCTGGGCAGTTTCACATGTGAGTGGTAAAGTGCTGGGGTCCAAGGGAATCCTACTCCTCTCCTGTTGGGCCTGTAATACCCAGCACCCTTGCTAAGTGTAAGAGAGTACCTGGGCGGAAGGACTGCTCTGCCTTCTCCCTCCCACCCTATATCTTTCTGCCTTCAGCTGTGTAAAGCCACTGAAACCCCTTCCAGTCTAGCCTGGTCCCCCTTATGTCACTAAGCAAGCATTTCCCCACTACTACTCTACGCCAAGCTCTTTCACCAGGGCCACATGCACTGGCCCTTTCTGGCAGAAAGGAAGAAAGCGGACAGATGAATCAGACTTCTAAGTAGTAAGTCCATAGAGTCTCCAAGGCTTTTTTTTTTTTTTAACTGGACTTCTTAAGTGAGTCCAGTTAGGTAAATATAACACTTTCTAGGGTAAGAGATCCATCACTCCCATTATCGGGAATGCAGAGTTTCAAATCAGGCATTGCTTATGGTCAGTGGGCTACCTCCTGCTCTGATTCGAACTCATCTCTTTTAGCCCCTTTGAATTAGACAATAGAATGGTGAACCAATTTGCAATTATTTATTAACCACTGCTATGAACCTGACCACTAGGCGCAGCCCTACAGATATACAGTAAGCAAGTCAGCCACAGTCCCTACGTTCTTGGAGCTCGCTAAACAGACACTTAAGCAACTGTCGGAAAGTGTGTAGAAGCTATGATGGAGAAGCACAGATTGCTTGGAAAAACTTATTCCAGGATATTTAATCCAGTATAGGTTGATCAAGGAAGACACCTAATACAGTTGGGGAGGGGAAAGGATATAGGAGAAGACTTCCTGGAGTAAATGAAATCTAAGGTCTGACCTGAAAAATAAGCAGCTATTATGCAGGAAAAGAGGAGAAGGAGGGGGAGGAGTGTGTTCCAAGAAAAGATAACAGTTTGTACAATACCCTAGAGGCAGAAGGAAGCTTGGCACCTTGAAGGGACGGAAAGAGTTTCAGGAGAGTTGATGGAAAATGTACAGTAGGGGAGGGGCAGGGAAGGGATGCTGAGTAGAAAGACAGAAAGATGAGCCTGGGAAGATGAGTAAGAGCCTGGGAATATTGGCAGGAGTCAGTTTGGATTTTAATTTACAGACAATGGAAATCATTGCAGGGTTATAAACAAGAAGGACAGTATTTTTTTGGAAAAGGTGGCAGTATAGGGAATAGATTAAGGGGGGACAAAACAATAAATAAAAGAACAGACAAAAAGCAAATGGATGAACGAATGGAAACAAGGCAAAGAGACCAGTTGGGAGACTGTTGTAACCATCTAGTGAGAGAGAATGGTATCCTGGCCCAGGACAGCAGCACTGAGGGTAGATCTGAGTGGGCATGTTAGAGATCTATTAATATTTTGGAGGTAGAATTCATAGGACTTGGTGATTGGTGATGTGGGCGGTTTTAAGAAAAATGTTCCAGTTTCTGACTTGGATAACTGGACAGATACTGAGATGGAGAACATTGGTGAGGATCATGTTTGAGTAACAGAAGACATTAATACTAAGCTCAATGTTGAAACGTGTTGAGTTTTAGATGTCCATGGCATATGCAGGAGGAGAACATTGGAGTTAATGGAGCTCAGCAGAGAAGATTGGGCCGGGTACATTTTGGGGGGCCATCGGCCTGGACAAGATAGTTGAAGCTGTTGTAATAGATGAAAGTACCTGGGCAAGCAGGCAGAGTGAGCAGCAGGGAAAATAAAAAGCTTAAGAGAAAACATTGAACAATCCCATAACTGAAGAGAAATAAAGACTACATCAGAGATTGAGAAAGAGTTGAAAGAGAAAGGAGGAAGTCCAGAAGAGAGTGACGTGGTGAAAATCTGTGGAAACGTGCTTTTAAAAGAGAGTAGGCTACTCTATAAAAAGGTACTAAAAGAGGAGGTAAAATAAGAACCAAAAGGATGTTTTGGGTTCCGTTAAACATCTTCAGTTCCACACTGTACGGTAAATATGTTAAATTCTGTATTCTTAAAGGTTTTTTCAGTGTTCTCTAAAATATTATTGATTTAATTTCTTGATGTTCTCAGTTAAGTTGTGGCAAGAATTTAAGATAGGTATTAACGTCTTTCTCAAGTATGGTACATTTTGCTCCGAGTCTCATGGCTAGCATTCGTTTTGAAAATAATAACAAATGATTCTTCCCTGTGAGAGGAATATTGCCTTTAACTGTCTGTTCTCTTTTGTTCCCCACTCTCCAATCTTTAGTTTATTTTCTGTCTCTTAGCCCCGTGAGCTCTGCTTTTAGACAAAAACCTTTGAATTGCAGTGTTGACTGCTTTTGAAATGAGAAGTATAATTTCTTTCCTATGTGTTCTAAACCATTTAAAAATTAATTCATAGCAATGCACATCACGGTGCTTAAAGAGTAAAATATGATTTGGAGATTTAGTCATTCTTGTTCCTGTTTCTTTTCCAGCTCCAAGAGACTGTGAAAAGGAAGTTGGAAGGAGCCCGATCACCACTTAATGGAGACCAGCAGAATGGTGCTTGCGATGGGAATTTTTCTCCAACAAGCAAGAGAATTCGAAAGGACATTCCCACGGGGATGGAAGCCATCAACAATTTGCCCAATAGCCTGCCACTGCCTTCAGCTTCTCCTCTTCACCAACTTGACCTGAAGCCTTCTTTGCCCTTACAGAATACTGGAACTCACACTCCTGGGCTTCTAGAAGATCTAAGTAAGAATGGGAGGCTCCCTGAAATTAAACTTCCTGTCAACGGTTGCAGTGACTTAGAGGACAGCTTCACCATCTTGCAGAGCAAGGACCTCAAACAAGAACCTTTAGATGACCCTACTTGCATAGACACATCAGAAACATCTCTTTCAAATCAGAACAAGCTGTTCTCAGACATCAATCTGAATGATCAGGAGTGGCAAGAGTTAATAGATGAATTGGCCAACACGGTTCCTGAAGATGACATACAGGACCTGTTCAATGAAGACTTTGAAGAGAAGAAGGACCCAGAATTCTCACAGCCAGCAACTGAGACCCCTCTCTCCCAGGAGAGCGCGAGCGTGAAGAGTGACCCCTCTCACTCTCCTTTTGCGCATGTCTCCATGGGCTCTCCCCAGGTGAGGCCTTCTTCTTCTGGTCCTCCCTTTTCTACCGTCTCCACGGCCACTAGTTTACCTTCTATTGCCAGCACTCCCGCAGCTCCGAACCCCGCCAGCTCACCAGCAAACTGTGCTGTCCAGTCCCCCCAGACTCCAAACCAAGCCCACACTCCAGGCCAAGCTCCACCTCGGCCTGGCAATGGCTATCTCCTTAATCCAGCAGCAGTGCCCGTGGCCGGCTCAGGGTCAGGCCCTGTGGCTGTGCCCAGCTCTGACATGTCCCCGGCGGAGCAGCTCAAACAGATGGCCGCACAGCAACAACAAAGGGCCAAACTCATGCAACAGAAGCAGCAGCAGCAGCAGCAGCAGCAACAGCAACAACAACAACAGCAGCAACAACAACAGCAGCAACAGCAACACTCAAATCAGACTTCAAGTTGGTCTCCCTTAGGGCCCCCATCTAGTCCATATGGAGCAGCTTTTACTGCAGAAAAACCAAATAGCCCAATGATGTACCCCCAAGCCTTTAACAACCAAAACCCTATAGTGCCTCCCATGGCAAACAACCTACAGAAGACGACAATGAATAACTACCTCCCTCAGAATCACATGAATATGATCAATCAGCAGCCAAATAACTTGGGTACAAACTCCTTAAACAAACAGCACAATATTCTTACTTATGGCAACACTAAACCTCTGACCCATTTCAATGCAGACTTGAGTCAGAGAATGACACCCCCCATGGCCAACCCCAACAAAAATCCCTTGATGCCATATATCCAGCAGCCGCCGCAGCAACAGCAGCAGCAGCAGCAGCAGCAGCCGCCGCCACCACAGCTCCAGGCTCCCAGGGCACACCTGAGCGAGGACCAGAAACGCATGCTTCTCATGAAGCAGAAAGGCGTGATGAATCAGCCCATGGCTTATGCTGCACTTCCGTCCCACGGTCAGGTAAGTGTGAACGTGAGACACCCTTGCAGCAGTTCTCGTGGTGTATTTCAGACTGTCGGCGTATGATGCTTGCCAAGCTTCAGCTGTAGTGGGGTCTACTGACCTGCAGAAACCCTCGTGTAGTGGCCAGGATTGGGGACATTGTCCCCTTTCTTCTAAGGGATGGAAAAGGGTGGTGTGATAAACTTTCTTGTATTTGAATGCGTAGGAATCAAACTTCTCTGTTCCTGACTGCACATAAGAAACCAAAACTTACGTAAAATTCTCACTCTGAGGGAGGGAGGCCAAACATGGTATTACCTCTGTAGTTTCTCTCCTAAGTTGTGCAATCCTGGGCTTGGGGTGGCAGGAAGATGGGGACATTAGAGCTGTCTACAATGGTTTTATAAGGCCCTGTGCAATCTTCACCCATCTTACTGAATTATGAATAATGGGAAATTTGGATTTTTGGTGTTCAAATATGGGAGAGTTTTCTGTATTTTCAAAGTGAAGTGGAGGATAGATTTTTGTAGGAGCCTTCAATGTTTAAACACTTGCTGCTGGACTAGCAACAGTTAGGAGCTGGTTTAATCTTGTTACTTGGGAGTACAGTGAGACCTCTTCAATTCATTCAGCTCTATTTCCAGAAAATTTGCTGGCGAATATGTCTTAGTGAGTGCTGTATTAAAGTCTCCTCTTTCCCAGTGTCTTCCTCTATGATGTCCTGGCTTAGGAGGCAGGGCTCTCAGTGTGCCTGGTACAAAATGAGCAGCAGCCATCTGGGGAGCGACTGCTCACTGACAAGCATTTTGCTGTCCTCGTCCTGACCAGTGGCAAGCAGCCAAAGCTCCTTTCATTTAACACTTTATCGACCCTGAAGGAAGGGGAGAGTGGGGAAATGCACCTGAGAGTGACCTTCCCCCCCCCCGGATGAATTCATGAGGGATAGCCTCACTGCCAGTCGCGGGGCAGTGCCTCAGCCCTTTCGGATGCAGGTATGAGCATTGTAGTTGGAGATTTTGCAGAAAAGTCTTTGCTCGAGAGGCCCTAAACAGGTTCTAAGTGCGCTTGGCTATGTGTCCACAATGGGACGCACGAGAAGTGCTGGGAAGTAACGCGGGCAGATCTTGCCTCACTGGGCTGTTTGCATCTTGTATCTCCTAGGGCGCCCCACCCCGCAAGCTTCATGAAAGCTGCAGGGCTGGAGGTGGTGCTGGCCTGCAGAGACAGGCCTGGGCTCTGTGGTTTCGTTCTTGTCCTTCTCAGCCTTCCAACCCCCAAACCTCACAGTGGCTTCTTGTCTGCACATGCCGGCCAGCTCTAAAGAAATCCTGTCTGGATAAGTAAAAGTATAGCTTGGTTTACATCAGCTGCAATCAGTAGCTGGTAGGAAAACATCACTGAAATGGGAACTAATGTTTTATCTTGGTTTCATTAAAAAAAAAAAATATATATATATATATATATATGCACACACACACCATTGAAAAAATGCGACATTTTATACACTTCAAGATTAAGTTCTGAAGCAGGCAATATGCAGGGATGGTTGTGGTAGCGTCAGGAGGGTTATGAGATCGCAAGCTGTCAGAATGGTCTGTTGTTAATCTTAATACAAATTGTGCTTCTCCAGTGACTGTGTTTACGCCAGCTACAGTAGCGTATTTCCCCTGAACCAGACCAAAGATGATTAATTCCAACTCGCAGGCTCTGCAGACATGTGGCTGCAGTGATGCACCCACCCTCACCCCTCGCCCCCACTAAATGTCTTTCGAAATGTGCTAACTTGGGACGAAGTTCCTGTCTTTGTGGGAACATGGATTTTGAAAGTACTTATTTCAGGCCCTTGTGCTTGCCTAACTACGTGCACCGACACCGCTGGCTGCGGAGGTCATGTTTTCAAAGAGCTCAGTCAGGTGGAGAAGCCACACTGATGGTTTTCTGGATTAAATCTATGTGCCCCTCCTCTCTTCCTCCGTCTCACAAGGTACTTTCAGGGTGGATGGAATCTTCCTTTGCGAGGCCTCATTAGAATAATCACTTCTTAGCCTTATAAAGAACCATCAGGTAAAAGCAGGCTTTTTAATGAAATATTAACTCACCACTGTTTGATACAGGCTTCAGAATACATATATAAACATGTGAATATCTTTCTGCAAACATACCATTTATTTCATGTTTTTATCTGATTGTGGAGCAGTATTTACATAGCTCTCAGAATAATTACGCTATATGTCAGTACATTGCACAAATACTAGCACGCATTACAGGTGAGATATAAAATATAATTATACATAGATGTAGTTCATTTTTGTTTTCTGCTGTTGCTAGTGAAAATTCACTTTAGTCACAAGGACGACGAAGAACACGTCGTTTTAATGAAACACTTGAGCAACAAAGCCTATTAGACACATTTATTTTGAGAAAATTATCTTATACAGATGTTTACTTATTTGGGACACTTGTAGAAAATGCCATTTCTCTCAGAAATAAATAAAAATGCACTCACTTCCTGGATGTTTCAAAAAAGAAGAAACCAAAAATGGAAACAAAAAAAAATTTCAAAATTTTGAATGTGTAATTTTACTTCTCAGAATTTACATATCATGCTTTATAGTCAGAGGATTAAACAAAGAATATGTTCATGGTATCACTTATGATAATGAAAAATTGGAACCAAAAAAATAAATAATGCACAAGAAACTCATGATATTAATGAAAGATTAATCACATGAAAATGCTCATGATATGAGTAAAATAAGCAGATCATGAAAGAGTTTATATGTTACAATCCAAATTGTGTTTTTCTAATATGTATAGAAAAATACCGAATAACTAAACTGTTAGATATGGTATTTTTTTCTGGTTGAAAAAATTATGAGTGATAATTGCTTTCCTCTTTATATTTTACTGAATTTTCTAAATTTTCTGTCATATAGGTGTGTTAATTCTACCATCAGGAAAAATACTTTTTTTAAGGAAGGAGAAACCCCTATTTAAAAAAAATATTTACTCTTTGCTAATTCTTTTAAGAAAACATTCTTTGTTGAATTGATTTGCCAGTTGGATCGAGATGATACCATTATTTTCTATTAATTTACAATACTAGTTGTGAATCGCCGTTTTAGTAGATAGTCCTAAAAATCTTTCTTCCACACTCAGTCTCTTTTCCTTTCTCTTCCACATCCCCTTTTCACTTCTTACAGTTCTCTCTGTCCTAATTCCTATAAAACTTTAGCTAAAATAGTGACAATGAAGTATCAGTAACATTTTCACCATTGTAAGTTTTCAGATCTTCTCTGTCACATGTTCTTATGTTATTTCTTTGATCATTTCTCCCTTCCCTTTTCTCTCTCTCTTTTTTACTTTCTTGAACTTCTGTTCATCATGGATTAGACCTCCTGGATTGCTCTCTAATTTTTTAGTTTTTTAATGTTTCTGTGATGAAATAACCAGAACTTACTTTGGTCATGTCTATTTTTTTTTCTAATCTTGTTGTTCTCAAGGGCAGGATCTCTCTTTATCTCTCTCTCTCTCTCTCTCTCTCTCCCTCTCTCCCTCTCTCCCCCTCTCTCTCTGTCATTTTAGCTAATTTTTGCATAGTGCCTAACACTGTGTCTTAAACATAAGGCTGTTCAATAAATCATTTGATGGCAGTTATCAGAGTTTAGGCCAAAAATATGTTTACAGTTGATCATCAGCTCCAGTGGAGAAAGCATTAGCACAAATAACACAGAACTGCTGTTGAGATCAAATGGAAGAACTGAAAAGACAAGTCTAAAAAGAATCCTTTGATAGGAGGTGGTTATCTCAAACCAGTGGAACAACAGTGAGATTGCTGGGAAGGCAAACTCCATCCCTGTGTCTGACAAACAGGAAACAATGGAGCGACTCTGAAAGGAGTAAAGCGAAAGCAAGTGACTGCTCACTGGTCAAGGGAAGTCACAGGCCTACCCAGAGCCCAGGAATAATTCCTATAAGGAAGAGTGAAAGGGGAATAATATCTAAACTGTGATGTTAACTTTTAATACTTGCATTCCTAGGACTAGATAAATCATAGACTACTCTTTACGTGTGTTTTCTTGTGTGGCCGCGTGCACCCTAATGAGCATATATATGCTCAGATTTTACAGAATGTTTTCCCTTTTCAATTTTATTTTACCAGGATTTGTGGAATACCTTGTGAGGTGTATTATTATAAGCTTTTTAGCCATAAAATCTCCACAGAAGGAAGAGAGTTCCAGTATTCATAGCCGACATGGAAATTTCTTTGAAGATACATTTTTCTTAACTTTAAAAATCTGAAGCCCCTTTGTTCCATTTTTTAAAAATATGTATTGTTTACTTTCTCCAAGTAATACATGCAGGTAGTTCAGAAAGTCAGACAGTACCACAATAGTACAAGGAGAAGCAGCAGTCCCCTGCTTCACCCACTCCATTCTAATTTCTGCTTCCCAAAGGCAACCTCTTCAATTCATTAAGTTGTTTTCTCATTTATCTCCGTAAACTGCTGTTTCTCAATTTTTCAATTACTTGATTCTATAGAAGATGAGGATTTAGCTTGCTCACACTACCTCCTCACGAACATACACAACTCCTTGCCCACACAGTCTTTTTCTCTCCTCCATTCTCTCAATATAACTAGCATTATCACAAATTATGATTTGTTTGTTTGTTTGTTTTTTTCTGAGACATCTCGCTCTATCGCCCAGGCTTGAGTGCACTGACACGATCATAGCTCACTGCAGCCTCAAACTCCTGGGCTCAAGGGATCCTACTGCCTCAGCCTCCCCAGTAGCTAGGACTACAGGTGCCCGCCACCAGGCCCTGCTAATTTTTAAAATTTTTTTGTAGAGCTAGGGTCTCGCTTTGTTGCTCAGACACATCTCAAACTCCTGGCCTCAAGCAATCCTCCCAAAGTGCTGGGATGACAGATGTGAGCCACTGTGCCCAGCCACAAATTATGATTTTGGAAATATTCCATATTTACATGATTAATTTTTGCATAGCGCCTCACAGTT